GTACTGTTGAAGCTAGAAAGCATGCAAAGGAAGAACATTCCGAACTAAGAAAAGAGTACAAAAAGAGCGCACGTTTGGCTTATAAAAATTACAAACTTGAAATGGAGCAACTTATCAACGAAGACCACAGAAGTTTTTTGAATTTGTGAATGTCTCCAACAAAAGGAATGGTGATCTTCCGAATGAAATGGTACTTGGAGACAAAAAGAGTGGGAACCGTCGTGAAATAGCACAATTTTTCGCAACACATTTTGCCAAAGCATACACCAAACCAGATTCTAGCATAATTGAAGATAATTCCAGAGATGAACCATTGCTGAAAGATCTATGTGCTAACTTTCCTACGATTGGCATCACCGAAGAGTTAGTTTTGGATGCTATAAATAATCTTCCGAACAATATGGTATCAGGACCAGACGAAATACCAAATGTTTTCATCAAAAAATGCCTTCCATCACTGCTAAAGCCAATAACATACATGCTAAGAGAATCACTTGAAATTGGATTTGTGCCGGAGATTTGGAAAAAATCATTCGTAAGGCCGGTACACAAAAGTGGTCTCAGAGCCAAAGTTGAGAATTATCGTGGTGTGGCTCTACAGTGCATAATTCCAAAGTTGCTTGACTCCATTGTTGCAAAACACCTTAATTACCACATGAAAAAATCATTGATGACAGTCAGCACGGATTTATGAAAGGAAGATCAACAATAACAAATTTAGCTGAGTTTACATCATGTGCAATATTGGGCATGGAAAACCATATACAAATTGATGCAATATACCTAGATATTGCAAAGGCCTTTGACTCGGTCAACGTCGATTTACTTATCCGCAAATTGGCTATTATGGGACTAAATGAACAATTGCTCAAATGGATCAAGTCATATTTGCATGGTTGCCAGCAGATTGTGAAATTGGATAATGATATGTCGAGCCCAATTGACGTTACATCGGGAACTGGACAAGGATACCCGATTGGTGCTACATTGTTCCTGTTGTTCATCATTGATTTGCCAAAACACATAAGGGACTCAATTCTTCAGTCGTTCGCTGATGACACTCGCCTGTGGAAGCATATTAGACACTATGATGATTGTCTGCAATTGCAAGCGGATTTGAATGAGCTTGTTGAATACTTTAATCGGAATCAGCTAAAATTGAATGTGTCAAAGACTAAATTTGTGTCATTTTATCGTGGATACATGAAATTCAACTTCAAGTATTCAATTGGCAACGAGCAAATTGAGCGAGTCAACGTGATAAAAGATCCGGGAGTTATACTCGATCATAAATTGAACTTTACTGCACACATTGAATACATTACAGCGAAAGCAAAATCACGTTTGGCCTGGATTAAACGATTTGGTAGAGAGTTTGAGGATCCATGGACCATAAAGAGACTATTTAACACATTTGTCCTTCCGATTGTCGAATATGCATCTCAAGTATGGAACCCATACACAGCTGAAAAGATTGCCCGAGTTGAATTCATCCAGAAACAATTTCTGTTGTTTGCACTTCGTAAAATGAAATGGCCACACAGATTTAGGAAACCACCATATGAATGCCGACTGCTTGAATTACAAATGATAACGCTGGAAGAACGGAGAAAAGTAGCCCAAATATCACTCGTTCATAATGTGATGTGTGGACATACATCATCGAAACACATTTTGAGCAAAATAAATATTAGAACATCGCGACATGGGACAAGAAACTCAAATTTTCTATCATTACCAATGCGTCATCGTGATTACTCAAAGTTCGAGCCTATAAATTATATGCTGATGACATACAATGAATTTTATAAATATTTTGTTCCAATCAAACCGCCTAATCTACCTAATGAATGCAATGTTACTACGATTCCAAATTGTGATACATATTTGATTGATTTTAACACAAATACAAATACTGTCAAACATAGAGTTACCGAATATTTTAAAAGAAGCAGAATTTGGAGAGAGTAAAATGAAATATTTAAAATATCAAATTGTAAATATTGTAAATATAAAATAATATTTATACTAAATAAACCACCTCTGGCGAAGAAACGCTGTACGGTGCAGAATAATAATAATAATAATAATTTTTGCCTAATACGAATTATTCTTTTTGGAATGGAACACCTTATCACATTGCACCACCTCACATGTATGCACAAAACCCGTTACCATACCAAATGCTCCAACCATTTCAAACACAGCAAATGTTCCGGCCATTCTAAATATCCCCAATATGTCACAAAAATCAACAAATACAGGTATTTCACATTGCATAACGATATCTCAAAACGTTAACGGCCTGAAATCCAGATTGCCGGAATTTAATGCGGATGTTATTGCAAGCAATGCAAAAATTTACATGATTTGCGAGACAAAGATTGATGACACGGTGCATTCATCGCAGATCTTTCCTGAAATTGCCATTCCATTGAATGCTACGGGAAAAAAGGAATTGATCGTTCTTGATACGTGCCATGAATTGGGTTTAGTTCAAATAAACAAACATAGCAACCGAAATAGTTCAACGCTCGACTTAGTTTGGACGAATTGCGTTGACTTGATTACATGCCATAAATCCGATTATCATCTATTAAAAAGAGAAGTACATCACCCTTTTGCACTTGAAATTAAAATTCACGACTTTGATAACAACCAAAGCAAGACTGCGTTAAAACTGAAGTACCATGATTTCATCGGAGCCGACTATGACGTCATCAATAATAATTTGTGCAACTTGAATTGGAATGACATTTTATCTGGAATTGACTTGGAACAAAATATTAGTAATTTTTACAATATCATCAATTCGGTTATTTCAAAGAATGTTAAGTTGAAGACCAAATCTATTTCAAGTCATCCGAAATGGTTCAGCAGAGATCTCATCAACATGAAAAACAGAGTAAACACGCTTCATAAGCAAAAAAAATCACGTCTTTCAGCAGTTCATGAACATGCGGAATTGAGAAAACAATACAAAGCTTGTGCTCGTTCTGCCTTCAAAAACTATAAGCTTGAGATGGAACAGCTCATCGATGAAGATCCTACAAAATTTTTTGATTACGTGAATACATGCAGAAAAACACATGACGATCTGCCCAGCGAGATGGAGTATGATGGCAATAAATTAAGTTCACAACAAGACATTGCTGACTCATTTGCGGATCATTTCACGAAAGCATATACACAAAATGATACTCCCGTTAATAATTACAAAGACTGTGAATCGTTCCTGAGAGATTTGTGCCTTAATATTCCAACAATTGATATCACCGAAGACCTAATTCTGGAAACGGTCAATAAGCTGCCAACCAATACAGTATCTGGACCGGATGGAATTCCAAACATTTTTATTAAAAGGTGCATCCACACACTGATAAAACCGATAACACGCATATTGAATGAATCATTTAAAACTGGTTTCGTACCTGATATATGGAAGAGATCTTATGTACGGCCAATACACAAAAGTGGCGTTAAAACTAAAATCGACAACTACCGTGGTGTTGCTCTACAATGTGTAATTTCCAAATTGCTAGATTCCATTATTGATTTATTCTAATCACCTGAACTTCCACATAAAAAATATCATCCATGATAGCCAGCATGGATTTGTTAAAGGAAAGTCCACAATAACGAATCTGTCCGAGTTCACATCACGAACTATTACCAATATGGAAAAGCATATCCAAACCGATGCTATTTATCTGGACATAGCTAAGGCGTTTGACTCGGTTAATATTGAGCTACTCATCCAAAAACTGAGCATTATGGGTTTGAATGGAGAAATTCTAAATTGGATACAGTCATATTTGGATGGAAGACAACAAGTTGTCAAATTGAATGAAGCAATGTCAAAAACCATTGAAGTTACCTCGGGAACCGGACAGGGCTACCCAATTGGTGCAACATTGTTTCTACTATTTATCATTATTATTATTATTATTATTATTCTGCACCATACAGCGTTTCTTCGCCAGAGGTGGTTTATTTAGTATAAATAAAAATATTCTGGTATATTTACAATATATACAATATTAAATTAAATTCAATTTCTCCAAATTCGGTTTCTCTTAAAATATTCAGCTACTCTCTGTTTTACAGTACTTGTACTTGCATTGAAATCAATTAAATAAGTATCACAACTCGGAATCAAAGTAATATTACATTCATTTGGAAAATTTGGTGGCTTGATAGGAACGAAGTATTTATAAAATTCGTTGTATGTACTCAGCATATAATTTATAGTTTCAAACTTGGCATAATTATTACGATGCATCGGCAATAGTAGAAAATCTGAGTCTCTCGTCCAATGTCGCGGTGTTTTAAAATTAATTTTGCTCAAAATGTATTTCGATGACGTATGACCACCAATCACATTATGGACGAGTGATATTTGGGCTATTTTTCTTCGTTCTACCAGCGTAATCATTTGTAATTCAAGCAGTCGGCATTCGTACGGTGGTTTCCTGAATCTTTGTGGCCATTTCATTTTGCGTAGAGCGAACAATAAAAATTGCTTCTGGATCGATTCAATTCGTGCAATCTTTTCAGCGGTGTATGGATTCCAAACTTGGGAAGCATATTCCACAATCGGCAATACAAATGTGGAAAACAATTTCTTTATGGTCCATGGATCATCAAATTCATATCCAAACCGTTTAATCCATGCTAAACGTGATTTCGCTTTGGCTGTAATGTACTCAATATGTGCGTTAAAATTCAATTTATGGTCAAGTATTACTCCTAGATCCTTTATCACGTGGACCCGATCAATTTTTTTCGTTGCCAATGGAATATTCGAAGTTAAATTTTAAGATCGCGCGATGAAAAGACGCAAATTTGGTCTTGGATACATTCAACTTCAGCTGATTTCTTTTGAAGTATTCTACAAGCCTATTTAGGTCAGCTTGTAATTCCAGACAATCATCATAATGTTCGATGTGTTTCCACAGGCGAGTGTCATCAGCGAATGACTGAAGAATTGAGTTGCTGACGTGTTTTGGCAAATCAATGATGAATAGTAGGAACAATGTAGCACCAATCGGGTATCCTTGTCCTGTTCCCGATGTAACATCAATGGGGCTCGACATGTCATTATTCAGTTTGACAATCTGTTGGCGACCATGCAAATACGATTCAATCCACTTGAGCAACTGTTGATTCAATCCCATAATATTCAATTTGCGGATCAGTAAATCGACATTGACCGAATCGAAGGCCTTCGCAATATCCAAATAAATTGCATCAGTCTGTACTTTGTTTTCCATGCCCAAAATTGCACACGATACAAATTCAGCCAAATTTGTGGTTGTAGATTTTCCTTTCAAAAATCCGTGTTGACTCTCATCAATGATATGTTTCATGTGATAATTAAGGTGTTTAGCAACTATTGAATCAAGCAACTTTGGTATTACACACTGCAGGGCTACGCCACGATAGTTCTCAACTTTTTTCCTTACACCACTGGTCTTACAAATGATTTTCTCCAAATCTGAGGGACAATACCAGTTTCCAACGATTGCTTTAGCATGTGTGTGATAGGTTTTAGTAGTGCTGGCATACACTTTTTGATGAGAATATTTGGTATTCCGTCAGGTCCTGACACCATGTTGCTTGGGAGATCATTTATCACGTTCATAACCAAATCCTCAGTGATGTCAATCATAGGAAAATTAGTACATAGATCTCTTAGTAGTGGTTCATCTTCAGAATAATCTCCAGCTAAGCTAATATCTGGTTCAGTATACGATTTTGCAAAATGTGTTGCAAAAAATTCAGCTATCTCACCACGGTTACCGCTCTCATTGTCTCCAAACATCATTACATTAGGAATGTCATCATGCCTTTTTTTGGAATTATTTACAAATTCGAAAAATCTCTGTGGGTCCTCGTTAATAAGTTGTTCCATTTCAAGTTTGTAATTTTTATAAGCCAAACGTGCGCTCTTTTTGTACTCTTTTCATAGTTCGGAATGTTCTTCCTTTGCATGCTTTCTAGCTTCAACAGTAC